CGGTCTGAAACTCAACATCAAAAAAACTAAGATCATGGCCACTGGTCCCATCACCTCCTGACAAATAGAAGGGGAAGATATGGAGGCAGTGACAGATTTTACTTTCTTGGGCTCCATGATCACTGCAGATGGAGACAGCAGCCCCGAAATTAAGACACCTGCTTCTTGGGAGGAAAGCAATGACAAACCTTGACAGCATCTTAAAAAGCAGAGACATCACATTGCCAACAAAAGTCCGAATAGTCAAAGCTATGGTTTTTCCTGTAGTGTTGTATGGAAGTGAGAGCTGGACCGTAAAGAAAGCTGACCGCCGAAGAATTGATGCCTTTGAATTGTGGTGCTGGAGGAGACTCTTGAGAGTTCCCTGGACTGCAAAGAGAACAAACCTATCAATTCTAAAGGAAATCAACCCCGAGTGCTCATTGGAAGGACAGATCCTGAAGCTGAGGCTCCAGTACTTTGGCCATCTTATGAGAAGAGAAGACTCCTTGGAAAAGACTTTGATGTTGGGAAAGTGTGAAGGCAAGAGGAGAAGGGGAAAACCGAGGATGAGATGGTTGGACAGTGTCATCGAAGCAACCAACATGCATTTGACACAACTCCGGGAGGTGGTGGAAGATAGGAGGGCCTGGCGTGCTCTGGTCCATGGGGTCACGAAGAGTCGGACACGACTAAACGACTGAACAAACAAACAAACAAATGCATTGTTATGTAGAAAGTGGCTAGTTTAATTTTAAATGTAAACATAAATTGCAAGGCTATACTCATGATGACTGGTGAAAATTTTGACTGACTGGTGGGCGAGACATTCTAAAAATTTTCAAGTCCTGTGAATGAGCCAATATACAAAGTATATCTTGATGTCTTTATTATTTATTTACTACATTTACCCCTCACCTTTCTATTACAAGGTTAGGCCCAAGATGGTTTAGAATCATGAAAATATAATTGAAACAGTAAAAATAGATTTAGTTGTGAAGAAAACCAAATTCTTGTAATGTATTGAACAAAAGCTGGCTCGGTAGCTCAGTGGTTTAGATATTTTGCTTTGAAACCAAAGGTTGGAAGTTTGATTCTCCACTGTATCTCCACAGAAGAACAGCAAGTCTGTCTGGTCATGCAGTCTCAGGATGCCTCCACAAGTAGAGAACGATATATGTTGTTGAACAAAAATTGCACAAAGGCATCAAACATTTAAGAAGTAAAATTTTAAATGCAAAAAAAGAAAAAAGACTAAAGGACACTTTTCTACAGAAATACTTACTGTCTCTCAGATTTTCCCAAGACCACTGGTCATTTTTGAAAAATGGGTGCCGCTTTATTTCTTCAACACCGTTTCGGCCTAATCTAACTTCCCTGTAAAAGTGAACAATTTTTGAAGAACAGATATGCAAACTATGGAGATCAAAATTATATATGAAATGCAAATGTCTGTAACAATTATGTGTAACAATTATGTGTAATTGTAGATTAACAGGCTTTTAAAACTAGATGGAAATGATGAAGAATTGCTTAACTCCTCCACCAGCTGTCTCTACAATCCAAATCCAGGCTAAGGGAGCAGCTCTCATTTCCTTCCATTTCAAATGCATGTTTTCTCTTATGAACATTGGCTCTAGGGACTGAAATACCATACATATAAAATACTAAACACCTTTTTGGGTCCACTCCACACCCTGTGATTTTTTTTCTTGAATTCAAAAAGGTACCATTATACATAACTACATAACTTTGGCCACTCATAATAACAGAGCCCTTCACAAAATGTTTCCCCAAACCTTCCATAAGCTGAAGAAAAACTCTGCAGCATTAGTCCCACCCCCTTCTGATTATATTATGTACATAGACAATACTGATTATGGCCTAGAGCCTAAAAACTGAAAGGAAAAACTTCACGTTACTGTTGTTCTATGAACTGTTTGAAAACCCCCACTACTGTCAGAATTAGGACGGTTCATACAATTCTGTTACTCTAGTCAAACTAGTTTTCAAATGAAAGCTCACTGTATTGGGACCAAACAAACTCTAACTATAAGGTACTGAAATCCTATTATTAGATCTTGCTTCGAAATGGGAACTGCAAGTGCTCCATCATCAGAAGGATGACTATTCAATTCGAAAATAAAAGGCACAGAGGGGGAAAACAGTGATAATCAAGTACTTTCACAGTCATAAGAACACTTAGAAATTTTAATTCAGTATTCTTTTGCAGTACTTTGCTAAGTCAAAAATAAAGATTCTGTGAGTAAAAGATACTGAGGTGTATCCAACTCTATGTCAATGTCAGTTTCAAGAACACATTTTTGAGATTTTGCAAGACAGGATATTTTTTAAGAAACTGGAATAAATCTTCAGTTTATTTATGGTATTTTACATAATCTATTTAATTATTTTATTATATTTCTATCCACCTTTCAATTAAAGAATAGCACTGAAAGTGGCTAAAAATTATTAAAACAGATCAAAAACAAAATTTAAAAACAAATCAATGAAACTTTTAAAATCATATAATCAAGACATCAGTAAAACAGTTTAACAGAAAAGTTTAAAGAAAAACATTTTCACAACCTTCTTTAAACCAATGGTAGTGGGAAATTATTACAATTTTAAGGAGAGTGCATTTCTGTCTGAGAGAAACACAGGGAAAAGACCTCTCCTGTCTATCTATTAAGCAGGCTTCTCAAAGGACCTGTGCTAAAGATCTTAATTCTGTGAGATTAATAATAATATTTATGGTTTTTATAGGCATAGGGGTTTGAGGACACCCATAATTCTTCATTCTGAAAGTTCCATCTGACTGACAAACATCTAAATGTAGCTCACCTCCACAAAAGGCCTAGCCAGGAAGGGTTTGTAGCTTAGCTCTACTCTAACTTCAGAAAGGATGCCCATAGCTAGCAGTGTGGAGCTTCATTTCTGAATAGGAAGCTACGGCGGAGCTAGGCCTATGCTCATTCATGAAACCTTATCAGCTAGACCTTTTCTCCAGGTGAGCTACATTTAGATATTTATAGGTGTGGGTCTGTCAAGTAAAATTCCCAGAATGGAGAATTATGGGATGCAGTCCAGGAAATTTGAAAAAAATCTATATAGTTCCTTAGACAGCCAAGCCCCAAGCTGTTTAGCAGATTGTATTATACTGTAACAATAACACGGTTATTTATTATCAATGCAAGAACAGAAGTTAAATATTAATAAAATTATGAATAAAAACATAATAATTTCATCAGGCCATGAAACGTACCATGAAAAAGTCCTTAATATGAAAATTCACATTCTGATCTGAACATATCAGACTTTTATTGTATATCCACTGCTCTTAAAAACACAAACAACAACCAAAATATTTTACCTGTCAGTTAAGAATCCACAAATAAGATTTTTTGCATCCTTAGATATATCATTATCATCAGGGAAAGTAAGAGAATTCTTATGGTTCATAATCTTGCTGTATGTTCCAACTAAAGAATCTGCATAAAATGGTGTATCTCCTAAAATTAAAAGAGAAAGAGGGAGGTATGACACAATTATAGCTGGTTAATAAAATGCCAAGGAAAAAGTTTAAGACAGAAAAGTATAGTGGGTAGGATCCAAATTTCCCATCTGCAAATATTAATTCTATCCATAAGATCTGCTTTTGATCCAGTAGAGAAATGCTACTGGCACAAGAAAAGGGTAACTAAAGAAAACTGTACTGATTCTCTCTCTCTCTCTGGAAGACCCCAACACTTCTAATGGTATTTTGGAGCAACACACAACCCTCTGAAGGGTCTTAGAATATGCAGTTGCTGGAGAAGGATCAGGGAGTCATCAGAAGATTCTAAATTGTCTTTCTGGGGAGCATTGGTAGGACACAAGAAGGACAAAAAAGAGGGCTTAAGAGCCACATACAGACTACAAGGCACATTCTGCCTAGCCCTTCTGTACAGCCATTGCCAATCAGTGCCAATACTGGCCCAAATAGGCTAATGGTATGACTCAATATAAGGCAGCTTCTTGTGTTTAATTCCTTACAATGGAGTTCATTAATCGGGACACTGCTACTGAGATGAGCCACCACCAATTCTTTCCACAAATGTGATAAAAGACAGAATAAGACCTCAGACTATGAACATGGTCCATACTTAGGTTCATATGAGAAAAGGTGGTCCTTCAGATAATTTAGCATCCAATTGTTTATGTATTTATTGATTTAATTTAATTAATTTATACGCCGCCCACACTACCCACGGTCTCTGGGCGGCTTACAACAATGTTTACAGCTTTATGGATATAATCATTACTCTGAGCTTAACTGGAAGCCAATACGAATGAATGAATGAATGAATGAATATTTTATTACGGTCAGCGACCAGTAAAACCAAATCAGTATAAAATAGAGACATATAATTGTAGTTTCGTAAAATTAAGCAGAATTACACATTTTCCAATACGAACAAAAAGAACTTTATAAACTGCTTTGAAAACTAACAGCAGAAACTAGACACAGAACCTATGGTTTCCAAACATTTTTCAAGGGCAACTGTTCTACCCTTTCTCATATACTGATGTCCAAAACTCCCTTTGTCTTGTCACTTGACTATCTAGATAATTTCTTTACATCTGCAACCATGTTCTCTTTAATAAGCTTCACTCATCTGTTCCTCTTTTGCTACCACCAACTTTAAACTGCTCCTATGGAATGCATATTTATTGGAAAAACCATAGCTTTGACTAGGCAGACCTTTGTTGGCAAGGTGATGTCTCTGCTTTTTAAGGTGCTGTCTAGGTTTGTCATCATTTTCCTCCCAAGAAGCAGGCATCTTTTAGTTTTGTGGCTACTGCCACCATCTGCAGTGATCATGGAGCCCAAGAAGGTAAAATCTGTCACTGCCTCCATATCTTCCCCTTCTGTTTGCCAGGAGGTGATGGGGCCAGTGGCCATTATCTTAGGGTTTTTTTGATGTTGAGTTTCAGACCATTTTTTTTTTGCACTCTCCTCTTTCACCCTCATTAATAGATTCTTAAATTCCTCCTCACTTTCTGCCATCAGAGTAGTATTATCTGAATATCTGAGGTTGTTGATATTTCTTTTGGCAAACTTGATTCTGGTTTGGGATTCATCCAGTCCAGCTTTTCGCATGATGTATGCTGCATGTAAGTTAAAGAAGCAGGGAGACAATATATAGCTTTGTCATACTCCTTTCCCAATTTTAAACCAATTAGTTGTTCCATATCCAGTTCTAACTTGCTTCCTGTCCCACATTTAGATTTCTCAGAATGTAGATAAGGTGGTCAGGTACTCCCATTTCTTTAAGAACTTCCCATAGTTTGCTGTGGTCCACACAGTCAAAGGCTTTTGCGTAGTAAATGGAGCAGACGTAGATGTTTTTCTAGAACTCTCTGGCTTTCTCTATGATCCAGTGCATGTTAGCAATTTGGTCTCTAGTTCCTCTGACCCTTCAAAATCCAGCTTGTACTTCTGGGAGTTCTCGGTCCACATACTGCTGAAGCCTGCCTTGGAGGATTTTGAGCATAACCTTGCTAGTGTGTGAAATGAGTGCAATTGTACGGTAGTTGGAGCATTCTTTGGCACTGCCCTTCTTTGGGATTGGGTTGTAAACTGATCTTTTCCAATCCTCTGGCCACTGCTGAGGTTTCCAAACTTGCTGGCATATTGAGTGTAGCAGTTTAACAGCATCATCTTTTAAGATTTTAAATAGTTCAACTGGTATGCCAAAATGCCTTTTACATGCAACCAGAAACTATTAGAAAGTCCAGCAGAACTAACAGTCACATAATCCCAGTGTCCTATTATTACAACAGATCACCCACCCAAGCAATTAAACTGTCCCAATTCCAACTGGGCTTGAATCCAAATGGAAAGGATCCAAATAATCAGGGTCATCCAAAAATCCCAGAACTAAGCAGAGCTGCTCAAACTATCACCCATCCACCAAGTCTGTAATCTTCTACTCCCTCGTTTGTTCCAAGGTCACAACTAATATAGTTCTTTATTCTACTGCCCATCTACTTATTTCATGATGTGGCTCATCCATCTGCATTTTAATAGTGTTACTTATTCTTTTGCATCTATTATTTTGATCTTTTCTTGAATCACATGATTTCTTACTTTATCTATTAGTCTCAAATTTAGCACCTGACTTTCTATTACTGGTTGAGTTTTTGCAAGGTTTTCCATTATGGATTTTGTGTGTTCAGGTCTATGCAACATGTTAGCATTGACAACACACAACCTGTCAAAATCCTGTTGTTTAGTATAGTAAATCTCACAAGAATAGGCCTACTGAATTAATGGGGATTTGGTGTGTCAACTTCTCCATAACTTCCATTGATTGAAATCAGCCAACTTTAACTTCAATTTACTTTAGCACAGAGAATTACCATTAGAGTAGGCCTACTTGAATCAATGGAACTGATTCATAAAATCTTCATTGATTCAATGGTCTACTCTGGCATGATGTATTACAGGATTTTAGTTACTGACTATAAATCAGTGGTTCCCAACCTTTGGTTCCCAGATGATCTTGAACTACAGTGGTGCCTCGCTTAACGATGATAATCCATTCCAGGAAAATCGCCGTTAAGCGAAAACATTGTAAAGCGAAATAAAAAACCCCATCATAAGCGAAACAATGCATTCCAATGGGGTAAAAACTCACCGTCCAGCGAAGATCCTCCATACGGCGGCCATTTTCGCTGCCTGAATAGCGAGGAATCCATCCCTACACACAGCGGGGAGCCATTTTAATTACCCAGCGGCCATTTTGAAACCGCCAATCAGCTGTTAGAAAAACGTTGTTTTGCGAAGAATCGATTCCCGAAGCAGGGAACCGATCATCACAAAGCAAAATTCCCCCATTTGGACCATCGTTTTGCGATAGCAATTGTGATGACAAAAAGATAGTCGTTAAGCGGATTTGTCATAATGCGGGGCAATGGTAAAGCGAGGCACCACTGTATAATTCCCAGAAATCCTGGCTAGCACAGCTAGTGATGAAGACTTCTGGAGTTGTAGTCATCTGGGGACCCAAAGTTGGAAACCACTGCTATAAACCAGTCTTAACAATTTTATAGATAATTGTTGGTATTTAAGAATTTTACTTGTTTACTAAAAACTAACCATACAAATCTTATCCTTCTCTTCACTTTTGCTTTCTGATTAGAATTCCCATCCATACTGCATTGCCTGCTCAGCATATATTGTTCTACATATTCTATGATAGCCATCAGTTATAACATTCATGTTTTCCTCTTGATTGTCCATTATTTTGTCATTCATTTAGTTTTATACCAACTCTGATACAATGTTCAATTATTCCAATGTACTTTGTATGTCATCAAAGTTATCTGCTGGACCTGTAATTGTGGCTCTTTGAGCAGACATCTGTGAATTCACACATTGGGTCTTTGTTCACGCAGGCACAAAGCAAAATTCCATGTATGATTTCACACAGACCACAATGAAGAACTGCTACATCATCAGCATAGCTCAGATGACTCAGTCACCTCCCATTGATATTCTCTTATGTTCCCAAGTGAGTTCTATGAGCACATCCCCTAACGCTATTACAAACAGACTCATCTCATTCTACATTTAACTGTTTCAAACTCATCTCATTCTGCATTTAACTGGTATTTCCCTTATGTTTTCATGTAACTGTACAACCACTGTTACTTGTTCATATACTGACTGTACAAACTGTGTACATCTATAGCCTATTTTACTAATGACAAGCTAAAGGTAGGCTAGGAATTTGGACCTGTTGTTCTTTTTCCACTGAAGACTTTTAAAAAAAAATGCAAAACAGATATTTACAACCATCATAATTTATCTGGCTAATGAGTCTCCCTCAGAAATGACTCTGAGATCATGACTAAAGCTTTCAACCTAGATCAAGAAATTCTGCTCTCTTTAACTCTTGTTACCATGATGAAATAATACAACCCTATATGATAGGCATAAAATATTTCCATTCAAGAAAAAATGCAATTAAAGTTATTTACAAAACAGATTATTCTGATGCTCACCAACAAGCATTTCGTACAAAAAGACACCAACTGACCACCAGTCACATTCTCGTCCATAATAACCATCACCACCTTGTGATTTTAATACTTCTGGGGATATATAGTCAGGTGTTCCAACAGCTGTATCACATCGTACCATACCTTCCTATAAAGCAAAGAAAGGAGTTATTTTAAGAAATATATCTGTGGAAAGTCCTGCTACTTTAACAAGTGTCTTAAAACAAAATGTTTGTTCCATAAATTTGATAGGAAAATGTACTAAAATGTATTCCAAAATGAAGGATAACTCTGAATAATTTAAACAAGCACTAGTAACCAATCAGAATTTTTTCAGAACAAAAGGTAAATTCTGAATGTTTTAAAAAGCATACCAACCTTATTCATCTTCATGCAGGTACCAAAATCTGCAAGTTTTAAATGACCAGATTTATCTAGCAGCATATTGTCAGGCTTTACATCTCTGAAAGACATTTTTTATAAGACTAGGTTTTATTTACAAAACAGTAACATTTAATAATATGTCAAAAGAAATATTAAGAAATATTAAGAAACAACTACAGTATAAAACTGCTTCAGGGGTTTTTTCGGGACCAATGCTTTGCAAGATGACGATTTTTACAACTGATCGGCGGCTCTGCAAAATGGCTTCCCTATGGGCGATCTTCGCAAAACGGGTGTTTTCGGGACCAATGCTTCGCAATACAGCGATTTTTGTAACTGATCAGCGCTTCACAAAATGGCTTCCCTATGGGCGATTTTTGCACAATGACTATTTTCCCCACTGGAATGCATTAAACGGATTTCAATGCATTCCAATGGGGAAATGCTTTTCCGAAGAAGATGTTTTTGCTAAACAGTGATTTCAATGGAACGGATTATCATCGTCTTGAGGGGCACCATTGTAGTTTGTTCATATCTCTCATCTCATCCATTCAACATTTCACAGGCTGCAGCACTTAATTTCACTGTGCATACCAGTGGTGCTGCACAGTAACAGCAAAAGGGAGAAAGACAAAGGAATTTGCTCCAGACAAGGGGTTATGAATATAGATGGGGACGAAGTGCCAAAATTGCAATCTGTCTTGGTTCATGGGCCGTCAAGTTGCCTCTCACTGGGCCAATGAACAGCGAATTAATTTGCTAGGTCATTTTTTAAAGACACCCTGTGAGGCTATCTGAAAAAAAAGCCCCAGCCCCCACAGACTTTCTATGCTGTGCAGCACAGGAAGAGGAGGGAAGGGATCAAAGCCATCCCCCAGCCTCGCTGCCTTTGCAAAAGCAGCAGAGCTGCAGGATGGCTTGGGTCCCGCTTCCCTCCTCTTCCTATGACCGAACAGCATAGGAAGAGGAGGGGGAAAGGGATCAAAGCGATCCCCCAGCCCCACTGCCTTTGCAAAGACAGGGAGGATGGGGGATCATTTCTGACAGGATACGCTCTTCTTCCTATCCCCACCAGGGCACAGGAAGAGGAACAAAGGGCGAGCCAAACAATCCCTCACCCCCGCTGTCTTTGCAAAGGCAATGGGGCTGGGGGATCGCTTTGATCCTGCTTTGATCCCCTCCCTCGTCTTCCTATGCCATGTGGACATAGAAGGAGGAAAGGAGAACCAAGCCACTCCCCAGCCCCAGGGGTAGGATTTCCTTTAGGCAGGCTTTAGCAAGTTGCCCGAAGGGAAAATCCTTCTCTGCTTATGCCCCCGAAGAACAGCTGATAGGCAAACAAAGGGACAAATATAAAAGGATTATATTCATTGCTTCATATTCATTGGGATCTCTGGACCCCAAGAATACGAAGGAACAAATATCTGATGAATCAGGGATATTCATTGACTATCCCAATTTGTTTTTGTATTCGTCCATATGTCTAGTTCTGAACTGTGAAAAAGATGTATAGACTCCCAGAGCTCACTTACTATTTGAGTATCTGTGTAGTAGCATTACATCTACAAAGTATAAAATATCTGCTCTTGTGTCTCTTAATACTGGGGCACAGAGCTCTACTTTTAACTAGCAGCATTACATTGTGTGAGTATTTGAAGCATGCTAACCTGTGAATGAAGCCCATAGAGTGAATTGCATCTAATGCAAGAACAACTTCTGCTGTATAAAATCTTGCCCATTTTTCAGGAACATCATAGTTGCTCATTAAATTCACCAGGTCCCCGCCAGGCATGTATTCCATCACCATGTAAAGGTAACGATCATCTTGAAATGCATAAAACAACTATAAAAGAAAACATATTGAAATCATTTAATATTTCATTATTTTACTGCTTTCTTCTTTATTAAGATTAAGCATAATTTTTTAAAAAAATCCCTTGAATGTCCTTAGGCTGCCATGGGATGCCTTTTGTTGTGGGAAATTGTTGGGGACTGTGTGATGAGGAAAAAAATTAATTTTTGAAAATCATTGCCACTGGGATGATTTTACTATCAGCAGTGGCTTTTGGAAATGATAGACTTCGACTCCATCCCAGAGACTTTCTCCCATCTCAAAAAACTGCAGGGCAAGTTACAGAACAGAATTTCAGCCAATAGTTATGTGCTGTCAAATAAACTCAAACTTATGATTTCATAGAATTCTTTAGATATGAAGTACAGTGGGGTCTTGACTTGAGAATTTAATCCGTATTGGAAGGCGGTTCTCAAGTCAAAAAGTCTGTAAGTCAAGTCTCCATTGACCTACAGTGCATTGAAAACCGATTAATCCCGTAACAAGCCGTTTTTGTTCCATTTTGTTTTTTTTCTGGTCTGTAAGTCAAATTTCAGTCTGCAAGTCAAAACTAAATTTTGCGGCCAGAGAAGTCTGTAACTCAAAAAGTCTGTAAGTCAAGCCATCTGTAAGTCAAGGGTCCACTGTATTTGGAAGTGGCTTACCATTCCCTATGGTGCAAAGACTGGCCCTTCTTTTGGGAAATACATTGGGAGATCCAACTTCTGAGTCCTAGCCCTGCAGCCAGGTGCCCCAACCCACTAAACTATCCAGCAAGTTACCCTAAGTATACAAACCTCGAAACAAGTCTTCATATAGTCACAGGCTTAAAATCAACACTGGCCCGGCATACACTAGTAGTTCCCTGTCCCAAGGAGTCTTCCTACCCTCCTCAAGGGCTCCCAATCGCTACACAGCTCCCTGACGAAGCAGGAGCTAGAATTCTGTTTGTTAATACGTAACATAATGTTACAGCATCCTTAATATCCAAGGTATTCCACCCTGACAACCAGGTCTGCACAAATCAATTGTGCAACTGGTCACACATTTCCTATTTGACCAACTGCACAATGCACTAGTAGAAGTGCTTCATAGATAGTAGATCCATCATCATGCAATTGTAACTAACAGAAGCTACTCTACAAGCAGACTGGAAAGTCTAGATCTAGTGTAATTTATTTATACACATACTTGAAATTCAAAGCATTAGTGGTCCTCTGAGCTGTTGTCAATTAAAGCATAGAAAAGTACTGTATGTTAATGAGCAACCAATTTTTATTCATTTTTATTGACAGATGCCCTATACCTCAGCAAACAAATTGCCAAATATTTTAAACTCCTGGATAGCTTAGTGATTGAGGCATCTGGCTGTGGACCACAGGTTAGGAGTTTGATTCAATGACCCATAAGATACCTTCCAGCCTTGCAGTTCAAAGATTATACACTTTAAGTATGATTACCATCAACCTTACTAACAATAATTCAAAGTTAGCCAATGTACCTGAACAACCCAAGGGCTATTTGCAAATGCCATGATATCTCTTTCTTCCCAGAAGAATGCAGAATCTGATCTTTTTATCATCTCAAACTTGCTCAGAAGTTTCATGGCATAGACCTTTCGGGATGATTTGTGCCTTACCTTTAAAAACAAAATACAAAATGAAGAAAAAGTTAGCAACATGTACAAGAAATACATTATTTCTCATGTTATATACAGAGGTGCCAAATGTACTTTGTGCCAAACAAGACACAATGCACCAGATCATTAACTTGAACAGAAGGCCTCACACAGAGATACACAGCAATTACATGTGCAAAACTGGGTTGGCAGAAGTAGATGTTCCTCCCCCCTTTTCCTGCACAACAACCCACCTCCCAAACACCTAATAATGGCACACAGATGAGTGGAGAATCTGTTCAGCTTTCACCCATTTTTCATGGACTACTTCTCTATAGTCTACAACCTGCTCACCCTATTCAGCTGGATTCCTCTACACTTTTTATAGCAAATTGTGGATGCTTGAGAAGAAATGAGAATCTACTTCCATCAGCTCCATTGTGCACATATAACCTTTATCCACTTCATGTTTAGGCATTACAGAAGGGAATTACCACAAATGTCTGCTACATGTATAAATGTTCACTTTTCATGATAACAGTTTCTTTATTTTTCTTTTTCTTCCCTCTAAATTTCCAGCTGAAAATAAAATCAAGCCTTATTAATACACAAAAGAATAACCTACCAACTGGACTTCCCCAAATGCACCTCTTCCAATCACTTTCACTACTTCATAATCTTCAGCTTTCATACGGAGATCTCTTATTTTGTTTACTGTATCTTTATCTGTGAGAAAAATATATGAAGAAAAAAACTGCAGCACAAAGTATAATAAGCGTATACGCAATGTTTAACAAATAAAACATACACATAAGAAAATATATTGAATATATGCCATTTGTTAGTAATTTCTTGGAACATCTGCAGCTCATTAAACACAAATTTTGTTGAAGGACAAGAATTTGTTCCTTTCACAGCTTTTTTTGGAGTTGCAAATATCTCTCTGGAATCTCTGTTCAGTTTCATTCCCATAGCAACATATAAATGCTAAAACACAGGATAAAACTTTACTGCAAGAATAACTCAGGAGAGGTTTAAATTTAGCTTAATTGATATCTGAAATGAATCATTAGAACAGACAATTTGTACTCACCACAACATATTCCTATACCATTAAAAAGGCTAATTACTAATTTAAGAAACAGTAATGTGTTTAGGGTTTTTAAATTACATAAATAAAATGTATTTACTTTCCAGTATTTATCCTTCCAGTACTTAAGAGACTCCGGTATTTAGCCTTTTGTTCTTTTACATATCTTTAAACCACACTACCATAAAAACATAAGCAAGAAACCCAGCATTTTTAAAATAAAACTATCGTCCAATAAACTACAATAATTTAAATTCCCAGTTGTCAGATACTCTAACTCCAAATTTGGTAAAATGCTATTTTAATCCGCATGGGTCAACATTGGCATGAGATTATACAAAAAAGCTTAACATGTCATTTCTCTGGTTACAGAATGCAACTACTGTACTGAAACAAAATCTTCTAAAAAAAAGTTCATAAACTTACTAGAATTCTGAACAAATGAGAGACCTATATGAAAATACAGTCAGAATATCCCCACTTCCCAACCAGCTACTGTAAATTCTTAGTCCAATTTCACTTGAGGACAGGAAATACTAGTACTGTGCCATTCTTTCTTTCTTTCTTTTTTAACTCCATCTCCCAGAATTCTCAAATAATTCCACAGGCAGAATTCTGGGAGTCTCAACCTACAGACTAATATCTACATTTCACCTACTTGGAGCACAGCTTACCTCTTGAGGCTTCATAGCTGCCTCAGGCCTTGCTTCCTCTACAAATAAGGCTGCTGCTACAATGCTTCTTGGAAGCCATAGCTCTTCACCATCGGCCCTCCATAGAACTTAAAGGGCTAAAGGGCAGTGAGACTATGATTCCAAGGAAGTACTGCATGTTTCTTTTTTGTATATTAACAATGTTTAAAGTTCTCTGATTCAAAATGAAATATCCTGTTAAATCTTTCAATAAGCATTTTATGTGTGTAAGAAAAAGTTAAATAGAGTATATGGTGGCATTTCAATGGATTAATTTATCCCCAAGATCCTACACTCTGAGAGGCATCAGGATCCAGAGAGAGGGTAGTAACCCATGTAGTCTAATCCACAAGAGGTTGCTTTTTAACTACTACTACATGTCTCCCTGCTCATGGTTTCACCTTACAATGTGTGGCCTGCATAATTAACTTGTAAACCGCCCAGAGAGTGCTTGAAGCGCTATGGGGCGGTATATAAGTAGCACGCTTTGCTTTGCTTTGCTTTTATAGGAAGACTACAGGAACCTACTAGGTTGCCTCATTTTATCCTCATATTCCTCTGTGAGGTAGGTTAGGCTGAAAGATAGTGGCAAGAGTGAGAATTTAATTTTATCTACCCCAAATGCAAACTCCTTCAAACATCCAAGCTGCAAAAAACTACCCACAACTATGGTATCCCAGGTTAGTATAGTATGAAAACTTTATTTTTGGAAGGAAAAAAAAGGTAGTGTCCTCTATTCTCATGAATATCAAAAACATAGAACATCATTAATAATCAGGTGGCAACAATATACCATGTTTCCCCGAAAATAAGACAGGGCCTTATATTAATTTTTGCTCCAAAAACTTATTACGGCTTATTTTCAGGGGATGTTTTATTTTTTTCATGTACAACAATCTACATTTATTCAAATACGGTCATGTCATCTTCTTCTCGTTGCTGCACAATGCTGCACAATGATGGAGGGTGGGGTTTCACATGACTGGGGCTTATTTTGGGGGTATGGCTTACATTATGAGCATCCTGAAAAATCATACTAGGGCTTATTTTCAGGGAAAGAGGGTATTTGAATATTGTGTAAAACTGGTACTTACATTTGTTTAAAAAGGTGTCTATGTTTTTATTTTTCCTTAGGGCAGGAAAATCCAAATCATAGACTAGTGCATCTAAACCATCCTGCAAAACAAAAATATTAACATTTTTTAGAAAACAGTTCATACCTATTATCTATATACAATTTCTCTTTAAAAGCATTCACTATGTTTAAAGGAAGTAATTGTGCAAAACTGATAGAAACAACTGCATAAATTGTGTTCTGATGAAAAGTGCAATAAATCTAAAGAAAGAACTGTTTGTGGAAAATCTTAATCAGCCATTAAACGGTATAATAATTTACGTAAATTTGTTTTTCTTCCAATCTGTAAATAAAAATGACCACTGACTAACAATTTAGGTGACTCATATCCCAATTTTATGTATATTTAAGTGGAAATAACTCCCACTATGCAAAGTTGTTGCACAGGATTACAGCCTATAATGTAAATTTAAAACAGTGATACCTGTTGACATAAGATTTGTTGTTTTATTGGGAATTTGTTTAAGGAAATACATTCCCTGTGCTGTGGAATTCATGGCACTGTACAGTACAGGCAGTAATTCTAATGTCACTTGACATGATCATAAGCATTATCTTAAAATAAGCAATAATTTAAATATTCTTTTCTAAAACAAAAAAATTTATACAATCTATATTACCCTTCAACTCAACATGAGCCTTCATCAAACTGGACATTACAGAGTTAGAAGTGGTGCAGGAAACTAACAGAAGTTCAAAAACTCATGGCCAGATGCACAAAACAAGTTTCTTGTTTAAAGCAAACACCAAAATTGGGGATGCAGAATCTACTTTGAGCTAGCATATTTCAGATTTCACCTCTGACAATGCGAATTAGAATGTCTCAATGACTTGTTAGATGCACATCACTTTTGCCAACTAGCAAATGGTATGAGTCACAGGGATTTAAAAAATTCTATTCACATTGCTTTTCTGCACTCATCTGAAATGGAAACAGGTTTAGGAAGAACTGAAAACTAGTGCAGTGGGTCTATTTGTAAAGCTGATAGGATGGCTCTGTTTCCCATCTCTGTCTCTCACTGCTTGATAGAATAGTTGATGCCTGGTCACAGTTAACAGCAGAAACAGCTGAATTCACAGCAGAACTGAGAAACTGTTTCTGAAAAACATTTCTTTCTACTGGACCTTGATCTATCTACAGAGATGAAGTAATGCAATCAAGAATTTTAATTTCCAGATACAAATAATTTTGTTCAATGACCATTTTTATACTGTTCAGAGATTCAATGCAGAACTATTGTATTGTACTACAGCCAAAAGAAACCAGGACAACAATAGTACTGCTAAATTAAATACAATTATTCTAGTTTAACTTTGACTTTTCATGTTCATGCTAACTCCTCTTAAAATATAAAAGTTAGGAATCGGTAGCATAGGAAAACAAGAAGTTACATTCCTTTGGAAGACTGGCTGTTTCCCAAACAAAAAATCTTTTCCTTTTTTGGGCAGAGGGCACAGTAAGTTTTGTAATGTACCATGGTAACTTCTGATTCATTATTTCATTCATAGTAATTCTATTACTAGCTAAGGCAACAATATATTTATTTCATTTTTGTTTAATGGAGAAAGGAAAAATAATTTCAAATTAGTATTTGCTGTAATACATACTTGCCAATTTAATGAAACAATGTTCTTGGTTTCTCTGATTATTACTTCTTAGGTCACTTGGAGCATTTACACAGCATATAAATTATCACAAACAAGCAGTTTGAACAGCTAAACAAACCATATATGCTCCATATTTGGTTTATTGTGTCTTTCATCAGAGGGTAGCTTTGCTTCTCTGGTTTATTCCCTTTGAATGGGGCAAAGAAAGAAGCCTTGAACCTACCCTCAATTGAGGCAGAATAAAGGAGAGAGAAAGAAGAGCAACTGCCCCCCCCCGACATACAACATGTGCATCAGCATGTTGCTTGTTCCTATAAGATCCTTAGCTGGTTGTATTGTGTGAATGTACTGGCAAAGTAATATAATTGCTGCTACATGTGATCTATCTGTCACTTCAAAATTATGGTCATTTTTGCACAACAGAATGAGCCAGAATTCTCCAGAGCTTGTTTACAACATGAACTAGCTGTGTGCTAGTGCATGCAGCCCTTTTCCTCCCACTTTGCTTCTCACTGCTACAGTACCCTCCAGATACCTATCGTGCAAACTATGATTTCTTGCTTACAGTTTTATTGAATTAGAAGCTGTTTTGTTCATGAAAAACCAGAACTGCAAGATTTGTTCTTAGTTTATGATTTTTAGCTTGATGGGAACAGATCAATTGTAGTGTAGTGTAGAAAAGCTATGAATCCCAACTGAGATGACCTACTGCAGCAGACAGGAACAAAACAAAGGCAAATAGGCTATGGCAGTGGTTCCCAAGTCTTTTGGGCTTGCAGCTCCCTTAATTTAGTGGCCACTGGCTGTGGCTACCCAGTGCAGTAGGACTGCCATAGCCACTGGATCAGTACCCGCAGTTTCACTTATCCGCTGCCTCAAAATAATAATATAAAAACACAAGAATACAACTTATCAGGACTAGCCACTAGATGGAATCAGAGACTACGCTATATACAGGTGGTTTAATGGAAACACATTCATGGCTTGACTTCTCTGGTAGAAACAGCTTCCAGAAAAATGGAGACACTGCATTTTTTGGAGGGGGCAGGGCAGAGCAGGCTCTCTTGCAAACAGAAGGGCAGGAAACCCAGTCCTTTGGTAAGACTGGGTCAAGGTTCCTTTTTGCACCACAGAAACTGCAAGGAAAAGCTGCACAATACTTTGGATGGGGGAGCAAGGGAGGGGGAGGATGAGAGGATTCTGTGGTGCCCCTGAGTTGGTTTCCCTGTGCCCTACATAGCCACTGCACACAGTTTGCGAACCACTGGGCTATGGGCACAATCTAATTCCCAATAAGCAAACATTTCAGAGAATTCTGATTTACTGCAATATGCAAGTTAAGATCACAGTATATATAAAATAATGGTGTTTTTAACATCATAGGCCAATAGCTAGAGTGCTTCTTTGCATTAAATTAATTTGTACTGAACCACACAGAATGCACAGAGCAAATTGTTTAGGGTAGACAATAGCAGAGTTCAAGTCAAAAGATTAACAATTTGATTCCTTAGCATCTGCTCTGATGATACACTGCACTTTTGCAATTACACATCCCTGCTCACAGTACCAAATAGTGGTAAGTATCAAGCCATGATTTTTAATTTGATTACCTAGATACGCGCAGAAGTTATCAGCAGATTTCTACTATGGTTTCAGGCATATCTATGATGGAAGACAGCACTGTTGCCTTGCAAGACTACTTCTGATGTCAATCCAAGAAACTTCTACACACCCACATCTTAAAATGTACACAAACCAGGGTGGATAAAAATCAGTGATTTTTTTCAAAATCAAACTGATTTAAACTACAATCTTTTAAAAATTTAAATAGTGATTTAATTTGTGGTTTAGATCATGATTTAAATTGATTGATTCAAATCAAATCCAGCCGGGTAAATACATTACATAGTAAAGCATTCATGTACCAACTGTCCAAGTACAGACTACTGACAATTCAACTATTTATAAAGAGATCAAGTTTCTTAGATGGAAGAAGACACACATGTAATATTTCCAAAGATAAATATTTTACTTAGTCAATGAAACATGGTACTCAAAATATGTAAAATTCAGTTTGCTTAGTGTGATGGACTAGAATCAGGAGGTCCAAATAAACCAAGGGTTTGAATCCCTGCTCAACCATGGAAACTCACTGAGGAGTGTGGAACAGGTAAGGCCACTCCTAAAATATCTTTTACATCAAAAGCCCTTTAGAGTCACTCTAAGTCAGTTCTGACTTGATGGCACATTAACAGAGAAGTATTTTTTTCATATATCTCTTTAGTTACCTTTCTATTCTCATATGCAAAGTTTTGAATTATTATTATTACCTTTCTATACACAACATATTGGAATATGTACTAATAAGAAATTGAACATGTCATCATTTTGATACATACAGTATGTCATTCAGTTCTATGAGGTATAATGTATGTCCCTAAGCTTTCAAATTCTGTATCTGTATTTTCATTCAAGTGATAAATTCCAAATGCATAAGGGCAGGTATCCTGTTGGCCTTACTGCACATGGAACAGCAGTCATGCAAGTAGTGTTTACCATTTTATGGGGTGTCCACCACAAGCCTGTTTGTGCAACCATGGTGTAACTGGGCATATGACAGACACTCTACAAACTGGTAGAAATCCTATGATTACTATTTTGGGCATGGTAAATAGAATAGGTACTAATCAAAATAGATTCCTGTGTACACAGTTATTCTCTTCCTACCATGTTTTTTTCAAATTTGAAGTTCACAACACTCCTGTAGGACTTGCTTATACTGTAGTAAGTATACCCTGACGTCTGAGCAAAAGAGCTAATTATGTGAAATATACACAAAAATCTTTTAATTGTGATATTACTAGCAACCAGAAAATACCACAATATATTTTTATGACAGATTTGAAGATATAAAAGAATGAAGAACAGTACTTCTAAATATAGTCAAACAACATGATAAAGATCTCAAAAAGAATTGCAATCATGTCATATTTAGCCATCAATGGGTTTTTAAACCACAGAATATTACATAAATACATAGTAACAATTTCAAATAAGAGAATGCAGCAGGAGTAATGTTTCCATAGCTACCCAAACATTTTAAAAACAAATATATTTAAAGTTATTTAAAGTTACTCCATACTCACACATTTAGAGGGAAAAATGCATACTCCATACATACAAATAGATATGGATATCTAGTAAAACTGATTTGTCTGTATTTTGAATTTCCATACCATAAGTAATAGTTTGTATTTTTCTTCTTCTCCCAAAATATTATGACAAACTGCATGCAAAGTAGAAAGCTTACTTTATATGTGCTGACCACATGCAACATAAAAGATGCCCACAATTCTAATGATCATTTATTTTTTATTTATCGATTTGAAAGCTCAATTGTTTTAGTGTCCTATGTTCCAGATATTTTCTTTGC